AGGTAAATAAAACTGGCCCGGCCTGCCAGGGTGCTTACCCTGGCGAGCCGCGTGCCGAACGTTGCCGACCCCTGAACTATAACATCTGCAATTCATGCTGCATTGGCTAGTTAGACAATTCACCCAATCATGAAACAGAAAGAATACCATGTGACTATCCATCACTTCATACATTATGAGTATTTGCAACAAACTAGGAACAGATCCTCTGCAAACCAAAAATTATTCATTGTAGAAATGTGTGCATAACTCTTGATAACAAAAAAATGTGAGACTGTCAGGGTTTTTGCAAACAATTCACACACAGAAGTAAAAGCAAAATGTGTTGGATAAATTAGTTACTGTAAATAGTTTACTCACTCTGATTTCATATTTCAAAATAACCATTTACTTTATGAATTTAAGAAATAAGAGGGGCGGGGGGAGCCATTTTCCTACCTCTTCCAGGGCCCATAACGAATCAACCAGAGGCTTGATCTTCTTCTCATTGTACAGTGTTATGAGTTTGTCCATTATACCCTTAATTAGGCCACTTCGGCCCTGTTTGAAAAGTAGATTTAGCAGAGAAAATCCAGCAATGACTTTATTCTCTTCGTACAGCTTGATAGGGTTCACTTTCTCAACCTGCCACCACTGGAGAGGAACAAATGACATGAAGGTTACAAGAACAAACTAACACATAGGCCAAAGGGTTCACAATATTACAGTGTATGCAAAGAGCTTATCAGGGATCTAGATGTGTTTATTCTCCCATGGGAGATGTAACCCAACATAGAATAAAGGTTCTCTGCAAACAGGACTCAGCACTTGATCAAAAGCCCTTTAACTTCATGGATTTTGAGAAAAAACAAGGCAAAAATACAGAGGCACTTTTGTTTTGCTGACAGCTCAAGGGCTAGGGTGAAGGAGAGAAGATTCATGAAAGAAAAGTGTGAACAATAGCAGCAGAAAGGCACAGTATGAGGAAATAGCTGCATGGAAAACTGAACTGTCTGATGTAGAGTAATGGGCATAAAATACACTTGTTTGCTTTTTGTGCCCAAATTCCAAAAATTTCCAGAGTGGTCTTCTTTTAGCCACAAGGTTTGCACAAAGAAATGGGGGTAGACAGACATGTAGCTACTGGATTTGCATGTGAGGTCAAATGCAAGTTTCTGAGGCAAACGTAGACAATTGGGAGGATGGATAATCCTGTGACTAAGGGGCAGGATTTAGGAGTCTTGAATTCTATTTGTGGCTCTGCCACAGTCTTCCTTTGTTACCTTAGGGAAACCATGTAACCCCTCTGTAAAACCTCTTAACCCTACTGCCCCCTATAACCCATCCCACCAAAAATCCCATGTAAACCTTACTGCTGCTCTTGCCTCTCTGTCTAGCTCCTGCTGAAGTCTTGTACATTGATATGTTTGGGAGTCTTGCATTATCTCTAATGATGTTATTTTGTCTACTGTAGCTCCAGGGCACCCTTGTGAGCGAGATCCCACATCTTAGCGAGTTTTATTCTAGTGGGCAAAATTTTAATTAAAAAAGTTCTTATGGTTTTTGGTAACTTAATTTTCACAGGGTTAATTAGATTAGCATAAAAAAGCAGTTTACATTTTTATGAACAATTCAATGCACTACTTAATATTTTGATTAAATATTCCCTTTGATTGCCTTTTCAGTTTCCAGAGGTGGTATTATTCCCTCCAGTATCCATTACAAAGCAGCTATTGAGTCATTCTGGTTTAAGGCTTTGTAACATAGGCCTAGACATGTTGATCAAGGCTTTTGTTTTAGCCTATAACTTCCATACAGTTAGTTATCACAGTAGCTCCAGGGAACCTGGTTTCAAGACAATTGCAATGTGCAGCACACTTATTTAGATACCAAGGTTTTAAGCTGTTTATGGAACAGTATAGCCCCCCCTAGTGGATTGCATTAGTATCCTCAACAAGTCTCATTCTCGAGACCTCCCTTGGTTTCAGATGGAGAACCAGTAGCTCAAGGAACCAATGTAACTGTTGCTTTCTTCCAAAACCTACAGTAGCTGCTCTAGATGGTACCAGTGGGAGCCAATTTCAATTTCTACCAGGGTTGTCTACACTACCAATTGAAAAACATGTGGTGACCTGTCTCCTTAACTTATTTACATGTGCAGTGTGAAGCTTGCCTAGTCTTAGGCTCAAAAACAAACCAAGGCAGCGACAGAGACAATAGAATAACTTAATGGATATGTTGGTCTTGTATTTCCCAATTGTCCCCATTATGTCAAACTAACCAGACCAGGTTGTTTCAGCACTCACAATATCTTTTTCTGTAGGTTCGCAGGTAGATATTTTCTTTGGAGATAATATAGTTTTTAACGGTGACAGGAATTTCTTCAGACTATTTCAGCTCTATGTTTGCATCTAATTACAAGGATCTTTGCACATTTTAGCCCTTGCCATTATGTGAGATAGAACAAATAGGAGGTAAAGTCTCTGAGTCTCTCTTATTGGGGACTTTGATATATCCTGATTTTAGCTGCATAGAGATATTTGAAGTTAATTTCTTCTGGGAAAAAGGGTTGCTGGTATGAGGTGTTGATGAATTTTTAGCAGATAAATTGTGTGTGGTGGATCTCTGATTAGTAGCTTGTGTCCTTTTTCCTCATATCTGAAGGAATCACTTTTTGAGGTGGTTGAACTTTTCCTTGCAAACAATTTATGACAGATTTGGCCTTTTTTCTGTTTGTGAATTGTCTGAACAGATTTGTTCATTACTTGTAACAGGCCAGGGAATAATTTATTAATACTTCAGCTTTTAGTTTGTTCACAACATCAGTGAAAAGGGTAAGACAGCACCATAAGAATTGAAGCATACATTTCAGTGGGTGTCTATTCTGCAATCATGGTTTGTGATTGCAGCTCATGTAGACAACCCAAGCTAGCATTAATCTAGCTAGTTGGGGTGCCAAAGCAGCGAAGCCATGGTACCACACACTTCAGTGTGGACTGTACAAGCCCACCCAGAAGCCACGTAGTTACTCGTGAACTGCTGAGGCTTCACTGCTCTGGTGTCTGAGTAAACTAGATTAAAGCTAGCTTGGGTGTGTTTACATGAGGTGTAATCACACTCTAGTGTAGACATACCCTGTACGGCTCAATTAATTCCTAAGACTCTTAGAGATGACGGAACGTCAGCTGAGCCCTGTGACTCAAGTATATCCTTGAATTCACATAATTGTGCAGCCACATTAGAGAAGGAAAGAACCCCCTGGGAGTACAGTTGTATAGTGGATATGATATGCTACTACCAGGTCAGAAAATAAATGGATGGTTTAGTTTGGTCTAAGATATAAAATGACTTTACACAGATTATTGGCAACTCAAATATTTATTGCATACTGAGCAGACTCCTGTCTAGCTGTCGTACCAAAAGAAAAACATATCAGGCCACGCTAGATTTACCACTCTTCATTTGCACTAGTGTGATGTTATATGTTGGAGTTAGTAAACAATGGAATAGAGACAAATTAGGTTGGTGTTGGTAAAGATGAACTAAGCTGCTAAAAATAACGGGTTTAGGAGATAAATGCTAATCAGTGCAGTATAACAGAACCACAGGAGTACTATACTTACTGATTTTGCAAAGCTAAAGAAGCTTTTTGTTTCCCCAGTAACCATATTAGATGAACCTGAAAAAAAGAGATCACATAAATGTAAACACCCTTTATAACATGCCAGTGAATGAGGCCATTTAATTGTCTGCATTAAAAATAAATCAATAAAAAATAAAAACATTTCTATTTGTGCTTTGGAAAAATTCTTCTTAGTTTTTTCCCCAAATTGCATAAGCTTTAATGATGCCCTTCCTTTTATCATTGGTACAGCAATCAAAGAAGTCAAGTTGATAGCATCCTACACATTTCAGGAACAAAAGAAAGATTTGTTCATAACAAAATGACAGATAAGCTTTCATTATTTCTGAGATCAGAAAAACCACCAATTGAGCCTCTCAGACAGATGTTCATAGACAAGCAGACTAGATAATATTAGATATTTTGATAGCAAATCTCTTCCTCCCCATTACAGTTTCCTCTCTACCACTATAGTTTAGCAGCTAGGTGGTAGCTATAACCATATAGACTTCCCCTCTCTCTTAGTCTTCAGAGATGTGTAGTCTCTAACTCTCCTCTCACAGAGGCTGGGGATGTTGCGGTTTCATTAGCAGTAAGTTATGTGGCAGGTAGGCAGAGTTATAGGGAAGCAATTTCTATTATTAAATATGCTGAGTGGCCAGTGGTACAGGTTGAGGCTCTAAAGTGTGAGATTTAGAAGTCTGGATTCAGCTTGCACAGCTTGGTGTCAGACCAAATGAAGTCATTCCTGAATTACTCTCTTTCTACAGTTCCATGCAGGGCTGACGAGAGCGGGGGGGAAGCCGGTACAAATTACTGGGGCCCGGCGGTCCGGAAGGGGGCCCGGGGCCCGGCTTTCCCCCCCCCCGTCGGCCCTGTTTAGCCGGTCCGCCCTTGCTGGGGGGCCCGTAAAAATTTTTTCACCAGGGCCCGAACCCGCTCTCGGCGGCCCTGGTTCCATGCATTATACTACGGTTACTACTGCCAAACTGCTAGCTTCCTGCGTCCTGAGGAATAAGAGATCCAAAGTTGCTCTCCAAACTTATTCCTTCTATGTGACTAAGTGAGTCAACTATCTGAACCATATAGCCAGTTCCGCCTTTAGATATTTTGAAAAAACAACTTGCTTTGGAGCAACTAGCTTCTCCTAATTTTTTAGCCTATGAATCAGATCCTTAGAAACTCTTGAATAGAAATGATTGAACTGACAAAGTGTAACATGACAGATACATTCTTCATACTCCCCAGGGAGAACTTAGTAGTTTGGATGTTTTAAAGGGTGTCCCCATGCTGCTGGAAGAGGTTGGCAAATTGGTATTTTTGAAATAAACTTCTAATTGTTTTGTTTTTACTCACCATATAAAATATAAGTCCCAAGTGGTTTGAGAAGACTGAGGCCTTTTCCAGTATTTTCTCCACATAGACAATCCAGAACGATATCTACTCCTTCTGCTGAGATTCTAAGACACAAGGAGGGAAAATTTCACATTGCAACAGGACTCAAGACTTCATTTCTTTTAACTGGTCTACTATAGGATTATTGTTTACATAGCACCCACAGTTTGAAAGGCACTTCAGAAAGGAGTCGGAAGAGTTTATTATCGAATGTTAAGATTTTCAAAAGCAACTGGTGATTTTGAGCATCTCAGTTACAAAGTACACAACTGGAGCCATTTTAAGAACACCCAATTCTTCGAAAGTGCTTAGCATTCACCCTCTGAAAACCAGGCGTCTCCACTTGGGTATGCAGCAATGGAGACACCCAAGATCAATAGTCACGTTCGAAAAACTTGGCCTAGAGTCTCAGCACTGCCACACACAGTCATATTAAGTAGTATCTTACTCCACAATCAATCTCAATGAAGTTAATGGCATTATTTGTGGAGTAACATACTACTCAATGTGAGTAAAGATGTCAGAATCTGGCCTGAACTAAACATACATATGTGAGATGGGAAAGGAGTCGCAGCAAAAAAAGCCAAGTGTTAGTAAATGATTGGTTAGCTACACTATTTTTGTTTATTTCTTTCTTCTGGAAAAATGAATGAGGAAGAAGAGTTTAGTGGAGTGGTCAGAATGCTCTAGGTGGTACAGATAATTATGGAGGAAAGAGAAGTTTGGCTTTGTTGAGATTCGACTGGGATAGTATATTACAGGATGATAAAAATATGTTTGTCTGTCTGAGCAATGAGTGTTGTAACCAGAACTGAGGGAAAGAAGCAGAACATGAGAAAGTAGAAATTATATACTGTTAATCTCTGGCACAGTGGATAGTTGGGAGAGAGAAAATCATTATTTTATCACAACAACTATTTTACAGGGCAAGATGAGAATCTAAAATAGGGAGGTTATGAAAATAAATCAAGTGTTTATGTAAGTCAGAGAGGCCTGTGAAAGACTAGAGCATGGATCATGGGAATGGACGACTGTAATAACAGCATTGGTCTACTTCATAGAAGATATCGACCATGCAGCAGAAGTGCGGTGGGAGCGTTTGCTCACAATACAGTCCAATCCTCTTCATGTGTCATTCAAGTAAACAGTCTCAATTCTTTTCTCACACCAGTGTAGATCAAGAGTAACTTCACTGAGGTCAATAGTTACACTAGTGGGAAGCCAGTGAGAGATGACAATCCAGTGCAAAAACGCTAGTGAGGTGACTAGGGGCTGAGTCTACCCTCAGACACATGGGGATGTATTGGTGCTTATGAAAACAGCTCTTAGGTATGAATTTCTTCAGGGAAACAAATAATTCTATATGATACACTCTCATTCATCCCCCATGCAGATTCAGAGAGAAACTTGAAATCTATAGTTTCCACACTAGAAACAAATACTAAATTTGTAACCCCGGTAACGATGGCAGGCACTCACAGTTGTCGTAAGAACAGAAATAGGTTAGGGTACAAAAAGATTTATAGGGCTGGTGCCAGATGTATACAGTTTGGCTCCAAGTGAAGTTACTAATTCACCTGTGTGCATGGAAGGAATCATCCATGGGTGGGTCTCCTCTTTTCTGTGGAGGGGGGCACAGGGTACCATCACTCCTGCCCTAGTCTCCAAGGGTTTGGGTATCCATGCATAGGCTGGTGGAATATGTATTGTAGTAAAGAATACAGCCTTGAGCTGTATTGTCCCCTCTTTATGGTGAAAACTACTTTAAGCGTTAAAGGGGCATCATGGAGGCACTGAGAGGCTCATGTGTGTGGGTGAGTGGGGGGTCAGGGAGTGCACAATGGGGTTGGAGGCAACCTAGATCACATGCACAGGGGCAGCACTGGAGCATCCTGGGCTTCATTGCATCTTGGGGATTCCATGCTAATTTGGAGGATTCAAAGGTGCGTGGGGGTGGGGTGGGGGTCAAGCCCCTTGCTTTATCAACAAGAGGGCAAACCCAATCACCCAGATAGAAGAATTCAAAAGAAACTCAGTGGAGAATCTTACGGAGTTTCTTACCACCTACGCAGTTTCTCTCGTATAGAGGCACAATCTAGCCTTTAGTCATTACAACTACAATGAAGATCACTATGCTAACTCACTTTTACACAGCAAACCCCACAGGGGCCGCGATTCAATAGTTTTGACCCTGTCTCCACAGATCTTAAGAGTTTTCAACTGATGGTTAAAACATGGGCCTATCAGGATCCTAAGATAATTTGGCCAACCAGTATAGATGGTTATAACAACCATGCTCTAGCCTGGATAAGAATTGAGGTTATAGCTGAGGTTTTTAAACAGTGATCTAATGTCATACTCTAGTTTACATAATGTCCTTATCTAGCTAAATAATGCTTGTTCAAACATGGCTCAAATCTATGCCTACTGGCCCAGTCATGTTAGAATTCCATTTAGCTACAACCAAGTTTAAGAGAGAATTGTCCATTTGGTAGAAGAACAATCGACCTCCTCATCAAAGGCAATTCATACTGAATCTGAGCCCTAGAGTTTGTGCTCATTCGGGCTTTGCTGCTCAGACTTGAACAGTGTACGCCTTTCAGCCTGGCAAGGGTTGAATAGCCAAATTGATCCTTCTATGGAAGGGCCTACACAAAAATTGCAGCATGCTAAATGGATTTGTGGGTATAGATTTGAGTGTGAATGGGTGTCACACGGCAGGGGAGGGCTGCTTCTGCATTCATCAAGCAAAGTAAAAAAGGGGAAATGGGTCATTTTCTATCTCACTTCTCCTCAGATAGTATGTTTTTAAGTGTCAGATCATGGACATAATTCCGTTTTGGATCTCTGATCTACTAGGTCCCTGCACTAGTCAAACCAAGCTTAGAGAGAAGTCAACAGGAGCCATCCACATGAATCCAAGGGCAGAATATGGCTACAATTTGTGCAGCAGAGGAGTTGAAATTTTATATGGTTCCAATAGATAACCTTGTTTGCAAGCATTTCTGAACTATAGCTCAGGATTTACCAGCAGGGCCAGCTCCAGGCACCAGCTTAACAAGCAGGTGCTTGGGGCGGCCAAGGGAGAGGGGCGGCACCTGCGGCAATTCGGGGGCGGCAGGTCCCTCACTCCCTTTAGGAGTGAAGGACCTGCCGCCGAACTGCCGCCGCCAATCGCGGCTTCTTTTTTTCCCCCCCAATTGCCGCTGGTGGTCGCGATTGCGATCGCGGCTTTTTTTGTTTTTTGCTGGAGCCGGCCCTGTTTACCAGCCAAAAAACCCACTATCTTTTTTCAGGTGCAAAAATATAACCCGATAACGTTTGGAGCTATTTTTTAAAAAAGAGAGAGAAATATTAGTTACTCTAATGTTGCCAGTAACAAGATCTGATTTCACATTTCTCTGCACTAACTAAACCTGTGAGCGCCCGCCTCCAGTTTGACTAAAACCTGCTATTCTACTTTATAACCAAGTAAATAACCCTAGTAGTTGTAAATTATTTACCTGTTCTCTTTAATTAAACAATTACACAAACTACTGGCACATTATTCTAGGATAATTATACCCTGGGGACTATCAAAGGCATAAGGTGCAGTCAACAGTTTCTAATCCCCCAAAGCAACTATTAGCTTGTGATGACCATACCTCTTGCAATTGCCTAACTGCAATTAGACAAAGTCAGAGAACAGGGAAAGCTTTATGACTTATAAAGAATTTTTCATTTTCCTCAGAAAACAGAGATAAAGCTCTCAAATGTCTGCTGGAAACACATTACAAAGAGCCACAAAACATGAGACTTCTTCCCTTAGTAGTGTAACAGTTAGACACTGCTGATTTTTGTGGGCCAATAATTTCTCCAGGGGGGTAAAGTAATATCTTTTATTGGACCAACCTCTGTTGGTGAAAAAAGAGAAGTTACTGAGATACACAGAATTCTTCTTCAGGTCTGCTCAGCTCTGTGTGCTCAAAAACTTCTCTCTTTCACCAAACAGGCCTTGGTCCAATAAAAGCCACCTTCTCTCTCTAATATCCAGGGATCGGCAGTGCTCAACAACAGTGAACACAATAATTTTTTCTACAGCTACGCAGTTTGATGAGCATTCATTTGTAAACACATGATACTTAACGTACCCTTTCGGAATGTAATCAGGGCAGTGAATGTATCTTTATTGTAAACATCATCCCAGTCATTGTTACTTCAGGATTTTGATATAAAACAGACTTTGAAGTAGAGCCACTGCACTCTGGCAACCAAGCCATCTATCTACTAGAGCTGGTCAGGAATTTTCCATCAAAATGTTTTTGCCAATGGAAAATCCAGTTTCTGCACGATCAACATTTTCCATTTCCTGATTTGGGACAAAACCAAAAATTCAAAATATTGGCATTTCCCATGGGATGGACATTTTGATTTTCCACAGCTCTACCACCTACATTTCAGTGACACACTCATCACCCTGCCAGCATAGTCACAGCAAACAAAGAGGAAATGTAACATTTCGCATGTATGTTTTACCTTCTATTCCAAATGGCCTCAAATCACACACCCTGTGGACTGATCACAGGGGAAAATCCACTAGTAGTAAACCACAGGGAAAGTTACAAATTGCTGCCAGGCATTTTAATGGACCCCATGTAGCAAAGTTTCTCTCCACTATAACTGGGTTCCACTGTAATAATCCCTTGGAACAGAACAATGACCACCTACCACCATAGGGAGTGGGGCATTCCAAGGAGATTGTATCTTCCTCTGGTTGAGCACAGGAGAAGTCAGCGTCCCCTGGATAAGGAGCAAGGGCTGGTTTTGAATTCTGATGAAAATTTTCTTCAAAATGTCAAATGTTGAAGAGTGAAAAATTTCTGTGAACATTTCGCGCCCCCTCACCCCATTTGTTCAAATGGCCCTAGTACAGTGGGAAGTAGCTGACTCCTGGCCTGCTTCAACTGCTTCCAGAGGGAAGTGAAGAGGAGCCAGACCATCATGCTACAGCAGCTCCCCACTGGCAGTGAAAATTCACCCCCAGCAGCTTCCAGTGGGGGTGAAGTGAGGTCCTGTGAACGGTCCAGGGCTGAAGAGGTGGTGCTGGGCGGCTATCCTTTGCCAGACAACTCTTCTCCTCATCTATTGAAACTTCATGTTGAATGAAATTTTCTTCTGATGTAAAAAGGCCTTTGTTATGGTCCTGATTCAACACCCCCTGAAGTCAGGGACAGCCTTGCCACTGAACTTAATGGGAGTTGAAAAGGTGTTAAGGGGGTGATACAGAGCGTTCACATGCATACCCCAGCGTACCAAGTGCAGCTGCCACAGGGGAGTTTAACAGTAGACAGTCAGACTACTCAACCCATGCAGGATGAAAGAGTGACGAATATTGTATCCAGCTGACAATGCAGAGAATACTTGTGAGTAATTACACTGTGCTTCCCACACTAGAATTAGGTCAGGATATGGGGACTAAACACCCTGATCTTACAGGGCAGTGCCCAGGGCCGGCTCCAGCATTTCTGCCGCCCCAAGCAAAAAAAAAAGCTGCGATCGCAATCGCAATCGGAGGTGGCAATTGGGGAAAAAAAAAAAAGCCGCGATCGGCGGTGGCAGTTCAGCGGCAGGTCCTTCGCTCCTAGAGGGAGTGAGGGACCTGCCGCCCCCGAATTGCCGCAGGTGCCGCCCCTCTCCCTTGGCCGCCCCAAGCACCTGCTTGTTAAGCTGGTGCCTGGAGCCGACCCTGGGAGTGCCACAAGATCTTCAACAGCCATGAATGAAGAAGACTCCTCCAAAAGTTCTCATGGTTTCCCCCCCCCAACACCAAGCTGGTGCAGCAATGATTGAGAAGGAAGCATGCCACCTACCGAATACCCAACACTACTTCCTGTGGCCTATGTTCTTTTTGGGGGAAATCCCATCTACACGCTGAGCCTGCTTAGCTGCTGAGATCCACTCTGATCCCAACCCAAGGTGGTATAAGCTACAAACTTTGCATATATTTTGATGCAGCATCCCTTATGGAGAACCCACACAACATACTACGGGGGTGCGTGCATGTGCAATGGACGTAGAAATTTCTTTTGCTCCCTCCAGCTGATTGAGGTAGTGCATCAGTGCACTCAAGACATATGTCACAACAAATCATCTTTATTTCTAAAGTAGAATTAGAAAACAGCAACGACATCAAATATTTGTTTCTAGAATTGGAGAAAATTTCCTTTACTTTCCCTGTCAAATATATCCCTTAGCAGCCAAGATTAATCAGACTAACCCAAAAAACTGCAAGCATTTCTGAAGAAACTGAAGCCTAGGTGACAACTTCAAGAGGCTACCAGATGACTAACATTAAAGCAAACAAAATCTAAGTATTCACAATTCAATCAGACACCATAGAACTCAAGATCCTAGCGGTTTGCACAGTATAAGAACCTAGACAGACAGAATCACACAAGAGAATTCCCAAACATTTTGAATCAATTGCACCAAATCTACTAAAGTGAACAGCAATAATGAAAGACTATCAGCCTACAGGAAAATAATATGAGATTAGATTCCCCCAATCAATTTTTTTGTTCTCTTTCATTTAATTCCTTTGGCTTGTGGCAGGTATCTAAGTGAACATGATCAATAAAGCCCATGTTGGATCGTAAAGGAAGAGGGAGATACTGATTTGCTATAATTATCTTTTCATTGGAAAGACAGAGAATATCTAGATTAGATCTGTGATTGTTCCAAAACCAACCTGTTTAATCGGTTCTCATATATATGCTTAACTCACTTTTCATAGTAATTTGCTAGCTCAGAGTTGGGCAAACTACGGCCCGCGGGCCACATCCGACCCGCAGGACCCTCCTGCCCAGCCCCTGAGCCCCCGGCCCCTCCCCTGCTGTTCCCCCTCCTGCGCAGCCTCAGTTCACTGCGCCGCCAGCACAATGCTCTGGGTAGTGGGGCTGCAAGCTCCTAGGCCAGCACAGCTGCAGAGTCGCGACCTGACCCGGTGCTCTGTGCTGCACGGTGGTGTGGCTGGCTCCAGCTGGGCGGCGTGGCTGCCTGTCCTGGTGCTCTGGGTGGTGTGGCTGTAGCGCCCCCAGCCACTGGTGCTCCAGGCAGCGCGGTAAGGGGGCAGGAAGCAGGGAGAGTTGGACAGAGGGCAGGGCAGTTCGGTGGGAGGTAGTGTAGATAGAGGCGGGGGTGTACATAGGGGTCGGGGTGGTCAGAGGGCAGGGAACAGGGGGGTTGAATGGGGCTGGGGTCCCAGGAGGGCAGTCAGGAAGGAGAGATGGGGTTGGATGGGGCAGCAGGGGGCAGTCAGGGACGGGGGTTCCAGGGGCGGTCAGGGGACAGGGAGCTGGGGTTGGGGGGTGGATGGGGCAGGGGTCCGTCAGGGAACAGGGGAGTTTGGATGGGGCAGCTGTTCTGGGGGGGCCATCAGGGGACGAGAAGCAGGGGGGTTGGAGAGAGGGAGGGGCCAGGTCACGCCTGGCTGTATGGGGAGGCACAGCCTCCCCTAACCGGCCCTCCATATAATTTCAGAAACTTGATGTGGCCCTCGGGCCAAAAAATTTGCCCACCCCTGTGCTAGCTACTACTTGATAATCAAAATAAAACCCTTACCTCTTTACTTCTTGGACATAGTCTGCATTTCTGTCAAACAGGTGAGTTACTGAATCTTTGATTGCTTCATGCTTGAAAGAGGAAGCTGTTCCAAAAACAGTAACACTAGGGATCGTTGAGCAGAGCTGAGCAACGGCTTGACCCTGCAAATATATTGTTATATCAGTTCCACTGACAAAGTCAATTACTTGATTTCTGCCTGCCAATTCACTCATAATACAATAAAATCCCGGGCTGGCCATATGCAGTTTTCAAAAAACTTTCTTTATATCCTGGTCAGACATTTTACAGTCACACAGTAAAACAGATGTAAACCCACGCATATCCAGAAAAATATTCTTTGGGGATAAAATTAGTTTAACAAGTGATAAATTATACTGGAAAAACTACCACACATATATATCCCCTTCACAATGGTATTTTGAAGTAAATTCAGCTATTGTAAAATGTTCCAATTAAAGGGACAGCATCCACTTAAAATGATACTTTCGCATGAAAGACATTTACATACTGCTGCTACTGTAGCACCTAAATGATTATTACTGAAGGATTATCAGAAAAATATTTCTACTTTTTTCCAGTTTGTTTACTATGGACATTTGCCAGCATCTTAGGCCAGATTTTTTAGCATACATTGGGGAAATCCACAATGATCGGTGGATCTTATGCTCACCTGTATGAGGTGCAGCTTTAGGCTTTGAAAGCTTTCAAACACGTTTGTAACTTGTGTCACTAGAAGCATGTGAGCAGTGGAAAACTCATTTACTTAAAATTACGTTGGGTGCACTGAGTAAGAGCTAAGGTCTCACTGAGAGTCAATGAGACTTAGGATTCTAAGGCCCAGGTTCTCACAAGGTATTTAGGTTCCTACCTTCCACTGATTTAATTAAAACCAGTGGGAGTTAGGCACCTAAATACCTTATGGATCTGGGCCCTTATGAACAAGCAGGATATCACTGTTTTCCTGGTACCGTCATTTTCCTCCATTTGGGTGGGTTTTTA